GAGACAGTTTTGCTCTTGTTGCCCAGGCTAGAGTGCAATGGCATGGTCTCGGCTCACTGCAACCTCTGCCTTCCAGGTTCAAGTGATTTTCCTGCCTCAACCTCCCAAGTAGCTGGGATTATAGGCGTACACTACCGCGCCTGGCTGATTTTTGTATTTTTAGTAGAGGTGGAGTTTCACCATGTTGGCCAGGGTGGTCTCAAACTCCTGACCTCAGATGATCCGCCCACCTCAACCTCCCAAAATGCTGGGATTATAGGCATGAGCCACCACTTAAGTAAAATGAAGAGGATTGATCTGGCAAAATTAATTTGAATAATTTTGGATAAACATTACTATTCATGTATGTCTCTTTTTAAAGGTACAGCAAATCCTAAGGTCACTTTTAAGATGTCAGAAATAATGATCGATGCTGAAGGAAGGGTAAGTATAAAATGCTGAGTTGACCTTTTGTGTCATTTGACTAATGTATTCAGTCCGGTTGGGTTCTTTGATATGCTTTCTTATTTTTGGACTTGTTGAACTTGCTAAGATATCTGTGAATCATGATTTTAGATTGACCTAATTTTTTACTTGCAAATCATCCTACTGGTTCATAAGATGGGAATATGGGATGTGCATATTAACCACTCCTTTCCAAGTGTGCCTTTATTCTCCAGATTAAAAAAAAAAAAAAAGGTAGTTATTGACTGGTGAGTTACCTTCTGTGTTGGGTAGATGTCCGTGGTACATTAAATATTCCACAGTTCACTTGTACTTGTAGTATTGCTTTCCTTTTAAACAGCCAAATGCTTATAAGCTGCATGCATACAAGACTAGCTGAAAAGTAGTCTTCTCTTCTAGACTTTTTAAAAAACAGCTTTACTTATATATAACTCACATACAGTATGATTTATTTAAAGTTTAAAATTTAGTGGCCATTGGTATATTCAGTTTTGCAACCCTCACCACAGTCAGTTTTAGAATATTGTTCTTACCTCAAAAAGATACCCCATACCCCTGAGCCATCACCCCCCAACCTCCTCACATCCCCCAGCACTAGGCAACCTTTTTTTTTTTTAAAGATGGATTCTTGTACCGTTGCCGGGGCTGGAGTATAATGGCTTGATCTCAGCTCACTGCAACTGCTGTCTCCCAAGTTCACATGATTCTCTTGCCTCACGCTCCTCAGTAGCTGGGATTACAGGTGCTCAACACCATGCCGAGCTAATTTTTTTTGTATTTTTAGTAGAGATGGGGTTTCACTATGTTGGCCAGACTGGTCTCAAACTCCTTACCTCATGATCTGCCCACCTTGGCCTCCCAAAGTGCTGGGATTACAGGCCTGAGCCACCATGCCTGGCCTAGGCAACCATTAATATACTTTCTGTCTCTATAATTTGCCTATGCTGAACATTTCATAGAAATGGAATCATACAATATATAGTTTGGTCTCCTTAGATTGTTTCCAAGGTCTATCCATATTGTACCATGTATCAGTACTTCATTTATTTTTGTTAACGATAATATCTTTATGTGGTTACCACATTTTATTTATCAGTTGATGAATATTTTGGTTGTTTCCATTTTATGGCTATGATGAATAATGCTGCCATGAATATGTGTGTACAAGTTTTTGTGTGGCTGTGGGCTTATGTCTTCATTTCCCTGAAGTATATACCCACGAGTAGCATTGTTGAGTCATTTGATGACTATTTTTAACATTTTGTAGAACTGCGAAAAGGTTTTCCAAAGTGACTGTACTATTTTATTTTGTTTTTTAAAGAAAGGTCTGCAGTCTGACTAATATGGTGAAACCCCGTTTCTACTAAAAATATAAAAATTAGCCAGGTGTGGTGGCACATGCCTGTAGTCCCAGCTACTTGAGAGGCTGAGGCAAGAGAATCTCTTCAAAGCAGAAGTCGGAGGTTGCAGTGAGCTGAGATCATGCCACTGCACTGCAGCCTGGGCAACAGAGTAACACTGTCTAAAAAAAAAAAAAAAAAAAGAAAGAAAGAAAGAAATAGACTTTCAGGCTGTGGTAAAAGTGCTTAGAACTGTTTTAGACACAAAAAGTAAGTACCAGTATAAGGAACCCAGAGTTTACTCCTGGTTTTGCTGTATGCTTTGTGCCTTTTTAATACCCAAGTCTGAAAATATGTTCTGCTTTTTAAATAATTGTTGAAGTAGACTAGTAAGCTAATTATTTATCGAAATCTTCTATAACTAGATTTTTTTTTCTTTTTTAATAGATTATAGATGTCATAGATAAGGAACTAATTCAACCTTTTGAGATTCTGTTTGAAGGAGTTGAATATATTGCCAGAGCTGGATGGACTCCTGAGGGAAAATAGTGCGTATGTTAAATTGTTACTTCTTTACAACTAATTTAGGATCCAGAGCTTTGGAATATTTGTGCTATTAGGCTTGTCTTGTAGTTGGAGATGCCTTCACATGTAAATTTGCAGCGTAGTTATTACTGCACAAGGCATTTTTCTTGAACTAAGTGGATTTGTGCATTTGTAATCCTATAAGCTTAGGTACACCACAGTTTAATTGTCTATAGTCAGCCAGTTACGGTTCATGATGTTAGTTGGGATTAAATTGTATGACTTTAAGGCTTACATATAAATGTATATATTTTTAAATTGCATAATTATAGAGCTTCATATGAGGATGATTACAAATAAATAGTTTCTGTGTCTAATGTAGACAACAGGAGTTTCACAAGACTGGCATTTGTTGACATTGAGAAAACTTTGTTTTGAGTCAGGGTCTTGCTCTGTCACCCAGGCTGGGTGTAGTGGTGCAATCATGGCTCACTGCAGCCTCAACCTCTTGGCTAAAGCTATCCTCCCACTTCAGCCTCCTGAGTAGCTGGGACTACAGGAAAATGCCACCATGGCCAGCTAATTTTTTAAATTTTCTGTTGAGATGAAGTCTCACTGTGTTGCCAGGTTGGTCTCAAACTCCTGGGCTCAAGTGATCCTCCTGTCTCAGCCTTCCAAAGTGTTGAGATTACATGCGTGAACCACTGCACCTGGCAAAACTTTTGTTTATATAGCCAGGGCCTCTCCCTGTGTCACCCAGGCTGTATTGCAGTGGCATGATCAGAGCTTACTGTAACCTTAAAATCCTAGCCCCAAGCAGCCCTCTCACCTCAACCTCCTAAAGTGCTGGTATTATAGGCGTGAGCCACCATGCCAGCCTACAGGGAGAAAACACTTTCAAAGGCCAACTATGCTTTTAAAAATTTCAGGAAAACCACTTTTTATAAATTCTATTCAAGCTTAAAGTATATTTTTAATTCACTCTTTGTAGGTGATAATTTAACTTATGCTAAAGCAGTTCTTTCATTGTGATTACGGATATAATTGATAGGTGCCAAAGGAGATAATAAGGGATAATTATTTTTCTGATAGTTTGCTTTATTTCTGATTCTTCTCTTTTATTTATTTAAATAGGGGATAATTGTTTTTCTGATAATTTGCTTTATTTCTGATTCTTCTCTTTTATTTATTTAAATAGTGCCTGGTCCATCCTACTAGATCGCTCCCAAACTCGCCTACAGATAGTGTTGATCTCACCTGAATTATTTATCCCAGTAGAAGATGATGTTATGGAAAGGCAGAGACTCATTGAGTCAGTGCCTGACTCTGTGACACCACTAATTATCTATGAAGAAACAACAGACATCTGGATAAATGTATGCATTTTTTCCTGTACTTGTTTAAATACTTTTTCAGAATGCTAAAGCAGATGAAGTTATATAGCAAACTATCAAAATGCATTTTTTTAAAGTTTAAAGGGACCATGAATGTTACTTCTTTAGTAGGAACATTTCAAGGAGTGATGGTTCCAGAATGGAATGGTTTGTATTTGATAGAAGGTAGATGCCATTGAAATGGCGTCTCCTTGGCTTCATATTTATTCCTGTATCAGATATTAAATTCCTATATCAGATATTAAATACACAGCCTCATCAGTGCTTCTGAGAGGACTTCATTAATCTGGTCTAGGAAAGACTTTCTCTTTGATGTTGGCAAACTACCAAAATAAACCAATTTTTAATTGAATTTTTAATTTTCAAATTTAGCAGAAAAATTTAAATAAGATACAAAATAAATGAAGCTAGCTCACTTCCTAGGTGAATGTAAGCTTCATATGATTCACCTATGAACATCTGTTTTCCCTTGAACTATTAGAAAAATTCTCTTTGGAAAACAAAAGTAAAAAAAAATTTACCTCATCATTCTTGAACAAGATTTATATTATTAAACAGCCTTGCTCCATGTTTCAGGGATTACAGAGATGTTGAGTAAGGAAAATCTTTTGGTCATATTTTTCTTTTTTACTCCATTTGAAAACATTTATTTCTCAGTGGATAAAGTCTTTGACTAAAGTAAAATAAATCTGAAAGTCCCAAGCAAAATTCATTACTGTAAATATAGCATTCCTGTGGCATTGATGGTTATTTATATTTTAAAGTATGTTTATCAAGTAATTTTTTCTACAGCCCAATTGAATTATGTAGTATTTTCATTAATGTGTATAGTAAATTTAGCTATTCATTTTGCAGATCCATGACATCTTTCATGTTTTTCCCCAAAGTCATGAAGAAGAAATTGAGTTTATTTTTGCCTCTGAATGCAAAACAGGTTTCCGTCATTTATACAAAATCACATCTATTTTAAAGGAAAGCAAATATAAACGATCCAGTGGTGGGCTGCCTGCTCCAAGTAAGAAATTCTATTTTATTTTTAAAAAAAAAGGAAAAAAATGTTGGGAGCAGAAGGTGGGAGGGACAGGGGATGTATCTTTTCTATACTTTTTAAGCATCAGTACTAGCTTCATTAAACTTAATATATAGTTAAACTAAAATATACATACATGTGTAAAAACACAGGACAAAGTTCTTAATGGATGGACACGTCTTATAAACTATTAATAGTGAATAATCTCTAAGTAGTGGAATTACTTCTTTTTTTAAAATTTTTATTTTTTGAGATGGGGTTTTACCATGTTGATCAGGCTGGTCTTGAACTCCTGACCTTAGGTGATCCACCCTCCTCAGCCTCCCAAAGTGTTGGGATTACAGGCATAAGTCACTGTGCCCAGCCAAGTAGTGGAATTACTGATTTTTGCTTTCTACTTTTGCCTTGACTGCAAATTTTAATTTGTTTAAATTAAAATTGTAATTTGTTTAAAGTAAGCCTATTTTAAAAAGCTATTTTTGTCTAGGAGTGGTGGCTCACACCTGGCCAACATGGTGAAACCCCATCTCTACTAAAAATACAGAAATGAACCGGGCATGGTGGTATGTGCCTGCAGTCCCAGCTTACTCAGGATGCTGAGGCTGGAGAATTGCTTGAACCCAGGAGTCGGAGTTTGCAGTGAGCGGAGATCACATCACTCACTGCACCCCAGCCTGGTGACAGAATCTCAAAACAAAGAAGAAAAACCACTATTTTTAAAATGTTATGTAGTTATTAGATTTTTTTTTGTTATTAGATATTTTTACACACTAGGTGTTTCTTATACTATGTGCAACTACACTGAAGTTAATTTATAGTTTATAGGTCTTGGATTGATATAATTATGTTGCCCAAAGTAAAATTGAATATTATATGAGCTGAAGTTAATTTTTCTTTAAAAAGTGGTTTTCCTTAAGTGGAGGTTTTCCTTCTGGGAAATAATAATATGGAATGGATGTGTAAGCCCAGAAAAAGTGAATGGGTATGTAGAACACTTTTCCCAAGTTTTCCTAAAACTGAGTTGCAGTTCTCAACTTTAATATTAGTTTGTTTTAGAATAGGAAGCACTTTGTGATAAATTATGTTGTATGCTTAACTGCCGTTTGTAACTTAACAGACTCAGCATGGCCCTTTTAAAAAACTATGGAAAAATATACGTAAGATTTAGCATTGTGACCATTTTTCCATTTTTAAGGGTACATATAGTTTAGTGACATTGAATATGTTTGTTTATATATATAGGTGTCTATATACATATATATAGATATACATATAGATAGAGAGAGAAAAATTTTTTTTCTGAGACGGAGTCTCACTCTGTTGCCCAGGGTCGAGTGCAGTGGTGTGATCTCAGCTCACTGCAACCTCCACCTCTCAGCTTCAAGATTCTCCTACCTCAGGCTTCTGAGTAGCTGGAATTACGGGCATGCACCACCATACCCAGCTAATTTTTGTATTTTTAGTAGAGATGGGGTTTCACTATGGTGGCTGGACTGGTCTTGCACTCCCGGCCTCATGTGATCCATGAACCTTGGCCTCCCAGAATGCTGGGATTACAGGCGTGAGCCACTGCGCCTGGCTGAGTACGTTCATATTGTTGTGCGGTCATTACCACCATCTGTCTCCAGAATTTTTTACATCTTCCAAAACTGAAACTACCCATTAAACAGTCACTTTCTGTTGCCTCCTCCCTCCAGCCTCTGGCAGTTACTTTCTGTCTCTATGAATGTGACGACTCCAGATGACTTATTTAAGTGGAGTAATACAATTTTTGTCCTTTATTGACTGGCTTATTTCACTTAGCATAATGTCCTCAAGGTTCATCCGTGTCATAGTGCGTGTCAGGATTTCCTTCCTTTTTAGGGCTGAGTAAGGTTTTGTTGTATGTATATACCACATTTTGTTTATCTGTTCATCTGTTGATGGGCACTGGGATGGTTTCCACCTTTTGGCTATTGTGAATAATGCTGCTATGGATGTGGGTGTACAAGTATCTATTTCTGTCCCTGATTTCAATTATTTTGGATATATACTCAAAAGTGGAATTTCTGGATCGTATGGTAATTCTATTTTCAATTTTTCAATTCTATTTCAATTTTTTTCAATTAGGTAGCAGTAGCTACTACCATTGGTGTTCCAATGGTGTAGCTCCTATGGGAAACAGTATAGTCCATACTGTTTTCCTGTGTACTT